TACAAGTATAAGATCTTATTTATTTCATTTATCTACGTTAGTTTCTTCATTTTCATTTGTCGTTTTATCATCTTTCTGAACATCTTTATTCTTATTTGGATCATCCGGTTTCATTTGTGGAAAGAGTAGCACTTCCTGAAATTACGTTATATATAGATATATTACTATAGTCTTTCTCATTTTTATTTAGTCCTGTACAAGTCCTTACCTTGATATTATTAGTATCAGTAAAGAACATAGTAAGTCTATCAATGCCTAATCCCCAGCCAGCAGTTGGTGGTAACCCATATTCTAAGGCAGTACAAAAGTTTTCATCAATTAATTGGACTTCGTCATCTCCAGCTGCTTTGTCCTTGGCTTGTTCTTCAAATCTGTATATATATAACAGAATTCGGTTTGTTTCAAAGATTATAATTATATAAAATTACAATAATAATAATTAAAAATGCTAATTTAAACGATCACAACTTAATTGCACTTACCTTTCTCTTTGCACCATAGGGTCATTTAATTCTGTGTACGCGTTACAAACTTCTTTCTTCATGACAAATAATTCAAATCGCTCTGTTAGACCTTTCTCAGAACGATGCCATTTTGCTAATGGTGACATAATTTGTGGATGATCTAAAATAAATGTGGGGTTGATACAAGTTTCTTCTATAAATTCACCCACAAGCTATAAAGAATATATTGCTTTAGTAAATATGAATACATATATAGACATAATTACTTATATCTATAATTTTCAAGATTTAGAGGTATACCTTATCCAACAATCTGGCAGTTGTTCTGGGTGCAGGACATTCAATTTCATGTTTGATGCAGAGTTCACTAAGCGATTGATTTGTTTCTGGAGTACCAAGTTCTGAAGGAGGTAGTTTAACTTTTAATACTTCTTCTAAAGTCTCCATCATAGAGACACGTTTAAAAGGTGGAGTAAAGTCAATTTCTACTGCTTCTCCTTCTGGCCCTTCTGGGTGGTATATTATTTTATAGCTACCATGTATGCTTTTCACCATTCCAGATATCATATCTTCTGTAATAGACATTAGGTCGTTATAATCTGCATAAGCCATATAAAATTCACAAGTAGTAAATTCTGGATTATGCGTTAAATCTATTCCTTCATTTCTGAATTGTCTTCCAATTTCATATACTCTATCAAATCCGCCAACAACTAACATCTAAAAGCAAAGATCATACTTTATAGTTATAATATCCAGCAGATAATTCTATATAATTATGATTATATGAAAATATTTATTATACTTTAAGATATAGTTCCGGAGCAATACGCATGTACAGATCCATATTTAATTCATTGTGATGAGTAACAAATGGTTTTGCTGTGGCCCCACCAGCTATCATATTCATCATTGGCGTTTCAACTTCTAAAAATCCATGTTCGTCAAGATATTTACGAACGTATGCGAGGATTTTTGCTCGTATATGAAATGTTTCTCTTACTTTGTTATTTAATATCATATCTAAATAGCGTTGTCGAAATCTCGTTTCCTAATTATGGAAAAATTGCGCAATTATTGTTTGTTTGATAATGTATACATGTTCGAGTGAAAATTTTATTAGTTATATGTACTTTATCTTTCAATCCAAAGTAAGGGTCTGGCAACATATGTAAACACGGACTTAAAAGTGTAATGCTATGTGGCATGATAGAGAATTCACCCTTCTTAGTTTTACCAGGATTACCAGTAACACCAACAATATCACCTCTTTTAATTTTAGAAATATCTTTCATAAATTGCTCTTCATTATTATAATGTTTTGCATTGGCCATAACTTGTATTTTAACTCCCTCTCCTCTGATGTCATAAAAGATCAGTTTAGTACCAGATTCTCTAATTGCAAATACACGTCCAGCAACGCTGTGCACCTCATTTTCCAATACTTCTCCATCTTTCAAGATATCACCAAACTTTTCAATAAAATTTTCCAATGACATTGATACATGAAATTTGTGTGGATATGGATTGTCATCAGTATTTTTGAGGTGGTCAATTGCGTTAGTTCTTAATTTAATGTATTCCTATAAAATAAATATTACAAGTATAACTTAAAGTGAAAATGTCACTGTACATTCTTTTATTTTATAATTATTAGTTACATACATTTGGACTAATTTCCTCTTCATTAATGTCACTAGTCACTCGGGATTTAGCTTTGCCTACTGTGGCTGCTGCAGCAGTTGCCTTGGCCTTTCCTTCTGCTTTTTCCTTTAATTTTTGTTGTGCCTTCAACTGTCTCTTCAATTCACTGTAATCATGGTAGTAATATGCGAATGTATTCGTATTAAATTGAATAAAAAACTAATCCTGCTTAAATTGTACGCACTTCGTATAAAAGCAGCGTATAGTTATCTGATGTAATTTTGTTGGCTTTGCATTATTCAGTACCGGCTGTACCATGCCAACAAATGTTTTGGTTATGTTACGCAGCATAGTTAATTATCTATATTTTGCCCATTACAACCAATATAAAATTTATACATGTATAGTAATCGATCGCAATCATAGGTTTACGTAAGATATCTTTACTTTGGATTTAAAAACTATATATCAACGTAAACAGATGTCCATGAAACAACGTGGGTGATTAATTCGTGACATCGGTCATTATCCTACATAGGTTATGTTACAACTATGGATACCAATAAGAAATAATACGGCGTAGACTTAAAATAGAAAATACGTGAATTCAATTTGTTCTCATTGACATTATTTTACTCACTTTTTTGATAATACTACACCTGCCGTATCCGCCATATTGCTAAACTTCTGTAGAAATGATTCCCCTCTGTTATACAGTTGGCAAACTTGTAATGTATTCTCATGTTACACAGCCACTTCTTCCTTCGCGCGACATTTTAGTTTTAAATTTCTTGTCAGACTATAATGTCGATATCCACAGCTTTGTTGGTTCGATTATCGCGTGCAAAATATCATGAACTATGTATATACAAAAATAATGATTTCTTCTTCAGTTGTTTGTTGTTGTTACAAGCAACATTTAAAATGTGGTATCGTAGCAACCACAACTGTTGATACGTGCTGTTGAAGTCAATTACTCCGATCAAAGTTATTTCATTAGTTTTTGAAGAAAAATGGATGGCTGCTTGGGGTATCATGACTTAAAAGCGCTGCAAGATTTAATTACTCCTCCACAAGACAACTCTGATGTCGAAGATGATTTACCGCAAGCTGGTGCACGAAAACTCGGTGAGTTGAAAATGTTCAAAACAACAAGTGTTATGACCTAAATTAGGCAGCTGTAAACCATGTTACATTTAGTCGAATAGTTATCATTATTTAAGTATTCTAGTTTCGATATTTTAGGTAGAATTGTTTCACTCGTAACCGTTTTTTCCATGTATTCGATTGACGTGTACATTATGTATGTGTGTCACCATACATTTGCATATACAGGATCTGGTCAATTATTAATGATATAATCAAAAATATGATATTTTTACAAAGTAAATGAAAAATAAAGTAGCTTTTAATTAACATATTAGTGTCGGAACGGGTATTAATTTCTTTTTAAAAATTTACTTTTATTAATCTTGTTATATATTTGAAAGAAACCCCTTTGATATTCAAAACATCCTTTTGTTATTAAAACAACAACTTGTTATTAAAATCTTATTGTTAGTTTTGAAAATTTTAGATTTTTTTAAAAAGTGAATTTGGAAAATAAAACCTAACCCGAAAGTTTGTTGGTTTTGAATTTCCGGCTTATTTTTGAATAGTAAACCATACAGGGTTTACTATTTAGGGTCTACTACTACGATAA